GAGTTTTTGGTATCATATGTATGACCATTACTTAACCCTAGGTTGTAAAGATTAATACCTGTTCTTTGTTCTAAGAGTTTTATAGTTTTGGCTTTTAAATTTAAGCCCTTAATCCATTTTGAGAAAACTTTTGTCATGGTGTGAGATAAAAGTCCACCTTCACTTTTTTGCATGTGAAAATGTATTTGTCCCAGAACTATATATTCTTTCCCCATGTATTATCTTAGCACCCATATCAAAACTTGATTGAAGGCTGGGGTTGTAGCTCAATGGTGGAGCACTTGCTAGCATGTAAGGGGCCCTGGGTTCAATCCTCAGCATCACATATAAATAAATTAATAGTTATTGTGTCCATCTACAGCTAAAAATATATTTTTTAAAAACCCCATTGACCTTAAATGTTTATTTCTGTGCTCTCAATTCTGTGTGTCTATTGCTATACCAGTAACTGATTACCTTGATTATATTAGCTTTTTAATATGTTTTGTGATTTGGAAGCATGAGTTATCAAACTTTTTCTCATGTAGTTTTGTTTAGCATTATAACTCCCATGAAGAAAGAGTATTGTCAAAGGTTAGGTAATTCATTACTGTGTCATGTGATAGTGTAATAGCATCTTAAGTGCTATTATACTTAATGAACGAACTTGTGTTATTTCTTTTTGAGAAAACTTTCTGTACTCTTTTTTTTCTATCCCTATTTTAAGACAGCAGAGTACCTGCCATATTTATCATTTTGAAGATAGAACTGTTTTTTAACTTTTAAAAAATATATTTTTAGGGGTTGGTGTTGTGGCTCAGTGGTAGAGCACTGAGCTAAACTGCTAAGGGCTGGCTTTGAATTTGTGATCCTTCTGCTTAAGCCTCCCAAATTGCTGGGATTACAGGAGTGTTTTTTCTTACGAGCAATTCCATCTCTAGCCACAAAATAAGGCTTAACTTGATCTTGGGCATACTGGGGGGTTAAAGATCAAATGTTGGAATAAAATATGGAATGGGAAAAGGATATTTTGGAAGAAAAGAGCTCCTCTCTGGAGACCTATTTCTTAAAATGGAAGAGATGCAAAATTAAGACTGTTGCCAGTATCAAGAAAGAGGAAATCAAACATTTTAAAACTTTTCCTCTAAAAAAAGGAAAACGGAGCTGGAAGTGTAACTCAGTGGTAGAGAGTGTGTTGTTTAGCACATGCAAGACCTTAGTTTCAGTCCTAGGTGGAAAAAAAAACCAAAACTGTTCAGTATAGGGAGGCTATAGTCAAGATAGGGTTTTCCCATTTCTGCCATGCGCCTTCAGTGAAGGTATATTCACAACAAGCATCTTGTCTTTGTATCCTCTTTACTTACAGCAATGATGAATAAGAGCTGTAAAAATAAGAATATGAGAAACATTGTCTTTAGGGAGGGGACCATAAGCTTAGACCAACTCTGGAGTATTACATTGGCAGACAACTTACGGATTTTTGTTTCTGCTTGGCTTACTAGAACACAAGTGCAAAACTGTAATAGTATCTTGCATATCAAAAGTTGAAGCCTGAAAACTCCAATTCCAGCACTTAGCTGCTGATGTCTGGCTTGTGCTGTGCCCTTTTTCTTTAACTGTAAAAGGATACTTCTATTTGAATGTCCTTCTAGAATAATAATAACAGACACAGTTCTAAGGCCTTTGTCTATGTTAACTCAATTTTCACAGAAAGCTTGTGAGGCAAACACTATTATTTTATAGATAACAAAACTGAGGCTTAAAGAAATTAGGTGAGTGATATAAAACTAGTGAGTGCAGAGCTGGAATTTAAACGCAGACAGTGTGGCCCAGGCCGTCGAGTACCACCTCAGCTATGCATCCTTTTGAATGTCAAAGGTCTCTGTACTTGTAAAATGTTTATAAAGCAGCAGGTACGTTGTCATGTGTTTATTGTTCTCAGTAACTCTTTGGGGTTGGATGTCCTGTGCATATCTATCCTCATTTTTCTGCCTTTTACCTTGTTTTACTCATATGAAAACAGTCTACAGGAGGATTAAAAAACTAGCTTCATTCATAGCAAATTTGGATTTGGAAAAATAGTTTAGACCTCAGACTATTCTTTTCTCTGAGTTAAACTCACCCAGCTGCAAGCAGAGCAACTTCATTCTGCTGACGGCATGGGAGAGAAGAAGCAGAGACCCACCCTGTCCTTATTGACCCCTGAGTCAAGCAGTGAGAGCTAGGCCCATACTAGAGTAGTAACCTTTAGTACACGAATTCTGCCCAGCAAGGAAATATGGAGTAGTAGTTGTCAGACTTCTATCAACTCACCAAACTGGTAAGCCCTCCTGTCATGAGAGTGACTGAGTAGGTGAATATAGGGTGTTTGTAGAAACTTCTTCCCCAGAAGTTCTCCCAAAAGAGTTTTCACAGGGGTATGAAGTGGACCAGGTATACATTAGACACAATTGCACGATATGAGAGCAACCTGAAGCTACCCTCAGATTTCTGGTGGGTCCCTAGTGGCATTTGAGAGAATGGTGCACTCCCACATGTCTAGAGGGGGCTTCAGGAGTGAGTGGAATGTTGCCAGGGCTCAAGGATGTGGTGTAAGTGGCCCACCAAGAATTTCAAAAGAAACACTTGTCCTCATCACCCTTCCTGCCAAGGAGCTCCTCATAGACCAAGAAGCAAATTTGAAGGGCATAACAGCCTAGATGGGACAGCAGCAGCAAAGGCCTCTGAGGATGATGGGACAGCTGCACAGGCCCTGGAGTACCTGGTTAAACCTGAGAAGGAAGGAGGGAGAAAGCCCAGCTCCAACATGGGGATGGAAGTAGTAGAGTTGTGACAGTAAGTTGAAATCTAGTCAAAAGTAAGTTTATTTGGGGCCTTCCAGAGGGTGATTGAGAAATTTGTGACAGTTACCTACATAATTATGGTTTGGGGTTTTTTTTTTTGTGTGTGTGTGTGTGTGTATGTGTGTGTGTGTGTGTGTGTGTGAATTTTCATCTGGAATCTGAGCAAGTCTTAATTTTCTTCTCCATAGAAAAAAGTAATTATTAAGTCTTTCTTTTTGACCGGTGTTCTGTGTTGCTATAGTATAATTCAGCACATGGTGGCGTATTTTTAAGCACTCAGGATTCATATATGTTTGACCACATGTGTGCCTTCCTGGTGCTCCTGATTCCTGTTTCTGGTAGTGTATGTCTGCTATCAGCAAATCTTCTCAGGAGTTTTTGTTGGGTTTTGGGGTTTTTTTTTCACCTTCCTTTTGATGAATTTTTCCCCTAAGTGTGGAATTTTAGATTGGCACTTTCTTTCAACTATTTGAAGTGGCCATTTCATTGTATTCTGGCTTCTGTTGAAATGTGAGTTATCATTGCACCTTTGAAGATCATGCCTTCTTTTCTTTCTGACTTGCATCTCAGCTCTTTGACGATGATATGTCTGAATGTATAGATAGATCCTTTGGATTTATCCCACTTTGATTCACCAGAGTTGCTCGTTCTTCAGTTCTGGAAATTTTGGGCCCATTTATCTTAACAGCTGTTTCTGCTGCTTATTGTCTTTCTCCTTTCCTGAGGGAATTCAGCTATAAGATGCTAGAACTTCTGACTGAATCTCCTGTGGGGCTCTCTTACCTTGTTTGTTTTTTGTTTGTTTTGATTGGCAGTGCTTCATTCTGGAGCATTCTAGACATTATTTTTCAGTCTGAAAATGCCCATCTGATTTTTTTTATACATTTTGTTTATATTTTTCATATGTTGATGTGTTTGGTCTATCATTTAATCCTGGCCATGTTAATCATGGTATGCTAAAGTCCCTTTCAGATAGTTTGAATATCTGAATTGCCTCTGATTATGTTCTTACTCTCTTTTCCCTCTCTGTCTAATCCTGTTTTTAGCAATGGGGTAGAGGGAAGAAGGAAGCATATCTCATGATTTTTTCAAATCAAATGTTGGATATTATGCAAAAAAATTAAAAAGCTCTGGGTTAAGTTATTTTCCTCCAAAGAAGGTTGTTGTCATTTGGCTAGCAGATACTAGCAAATCACCTTAGCATACACATTGATTCTTGGTTGGGGCTTTGTTAGAATGCTGTATTCTTAATCCTTTGTGGCTCTTGGTCTAAAGCGTCATCCTTTGAGCAGGCCTTCTGAAAGCCTAGTTGGTTGTTTGATCCCCACCTGGGAGGGACTCTGACCCCACCACAGGATGCTGAAGTGTCTGCTGATCTTGTTTAGCTTCATGGCTGCTGTTTCCTGTTGGGTTTCTCAGAATCTCACACTTTGCTTGTGCAGTTTAGGACTTGGCCAATACTTGAAGGAGATTTGTAAACAGATTATTAGATCCTCTGTGATCCCTTCAGACCTGCCTGAAAGCCCTTGGGAACAAACAAGTCAGCAGGATTTCAGAACAGGAGGTGGGTCCCATATTCTGCTAGCATTTTAGTGGAAGGCATTTTCTACATCCAGCACAGGAAATAAGGTCCAGGCATAAAGTGGCAGGCAGCTTTACTGGCTAAGGGGATATAGATTAGGGTTTGAGGCTAATCTCTATCTCCCTAACCAGTAAAGCACAAGTTATCTTTGGGGGCTTCAGTTTTCCCATCTGCATAGAAGATGGACATCAGATAACTCCTCTATGAAAAGCATTAGGGTAAGTGAAAGATTACACCTACCTAGAAAGGTGGTTCTTGATGTTTAAATGAAAAAAACACATGCAAACAACCTTCCGCAGTGCCAGACATCAAGTGTGCAGTGAATGTCATTTCTCACATCCTGCCCATCCTCCCCAGCTGTGTGTGGTCGCTTCGTACCATGTTTGCCCAAATATAATAAAGGTTTCTTAAGTTGGTACTCATCAGATTAAGGAAGGAAGAGCTTGATGTTTCTAGAGACTACCTAGGTTGAAAGTGAGGTATTTTATTTATTAATTATGATATATATTTTGTATATAAGGAAACAAAAAGGGCTTAATTCTTGTTATGCTAACAGTCACTTTTCATACCTTTGCCTCATTGCTTCTGTTTTGTAGCAACCAAACTTGAAAGGTTCTTTGGATTCTTCCACACTGCCCAAACTGGAAGAGTTCTACATCTCCCTTTTCCAGTCACAGCAGTCAGCAGAAGGGAGTCAGTTTGAGCCTAACAACATCCAGACTCCAACAAAGCAAATTCAGCTGCCCACAGCAGCAGCCAGCTCAGCTACTGTCGCGGCCGACGCCCCAGGAGAGCACTCTGGTTCTGGTAGGTGCACGTGCGCTCCTGTATGCTCGCCACTGACAGATGATATTTGGCCATGTTGCTGAAAACCTTCTTTTACCTCTTTCAGGACATACTTGAGCATTGCTGACTGTAGGATTTGTCTCCGTTGTTCCCATTATCTATGCCATTCTTTTTTCCCCCCTGATGATTTTTGGAGGGACTTCACATTTATATAGAATAAAAATTATGAATTTTTAAGGTTATGATTCTTTTGAGTTTTGGCAAAATATACAGTCATATAGAACATTCTCACCATCGTGAAAAGTTTTTTTATGCCCCTTTGCAGTCAATCCCTCCACTAACTTGCTAGGCTCTGGCATGTCACTTTCCCTTTCCTGTGTTACATAGTATGTAGTTTTTATGTCTGGCTTCTTTTATTTACCATAACTTTTTTTCAATACTAGGAATTGAACCCAGAGGCTCATGCATGCTAGGCAAGCACTCTGCCACTGAGCCACACTTCAGCTCTACTTACTGTAGTTTTTATGTTATTTCCATTCAGTATTTACAAAAAAGTGGATTTGCTAGGATGTATAGTGACTGCATGTTTAATTTTTTAAACTGCCAAAATGCTTTTAAAGTGGCTGCACAGTTTGCATTCACCTGTGAAGGTTTAAAAGTTCTGATAGCTCCGATCTTCACTAGCAGATGGTATTTTCCTGCTTACAGGCCTATTATGGTAATTTTAATTTGCTTTTTCCTATTTACCACCTTTTTGCCTAATTTGACATTCATATATCTTTTTAAGTGGCTGTCCAAGTATTTGTTTTTAATATTGATTTATCTACTTGTAAACAAGTTCTTTATTCTGGACATAAATCCATTATCAGATCTATATCTCTATCTAGCATATATATCTTTCCTCCAGTTTGTGTCATGTCTTTTTTTTAAGTGTCATTTTCTTAACAGTGACTTTAGAAGAGCAAAGGCTTACATTTTGATTGTCTAATTTAGTGATTTTTTTTTCATTATAATCTGAGCTTTGTGTGTTCTATTTAGAAATCTTTACCTAACCCAAGTAACTAAGTGGCAGTCGGTGAAATGTTTGTAATGATAGACAAGACAGTAAAGAACTTGTGCCAGAATCTACACTGCATTGCTGAGTACTATTTAGCTCACCTGATTTTTTTTTTTTTTTTAAAAAGCAGGACTTTCCTGAAGGAAGCAGCAGGTTGGCTTAGACACCAACAAAAGCCACTTCAATCATAGTAGCTGGCAGTCAACAGTCATGGACCAGTTACTTTGGGCAGCACTGGTCTAGCACCCATCTGAGAATGCTTGTACCTGCTTCCTTAGCTACTGGGAACTCTGGGCATTGGAGCTCCCTCAGTTTTATTTTTTCCAAAGGATTACTTCTTAGTTAAATCTAAAGCCTACAACAGTCATTTTATGGCTGATAACTGGCTCTGGTTCTGCTTAGCAACCATTTTGCTTTCACACTGGCACAGACCTGGCAACAGAGCACGCCTGTGGCACGCTGTGTTACTCAGGGCTGGAAGGAAATGGGAGAGCTTATGGTCTCTTCTCTGGGATCTGAGTTTACTTTTATGAAATTCTTGGAAAGCAGTCTTCCCTGCCTGGTTCATAAGTGCATTTTCCCCTCTCTTTATCCTGACAGTTTGATCCCAAGGTATGATTCCCCATCCTCTCTCCTTTCCGTCTAGCGGCTGATTTCTGAATCTCAACATCCCTGACAGCCTTGGGTAACTGTCATCACCTAACAGACGATGACTGTAGTACCTGTTAGTAGAGAACTAGAGTGGAGGAGAGAGGGCAGTGAAAAGACTTGTCTTCTCTTTTTTTAGTGGAGAGCTCTCCAGGGAGCCTAAAGAACGAAGATCTTTCTAGTCGCCACGCCATCGCAGTGTTCAAGGATGAGAGTCAAGGAGCCATGGACCAGCTGTCTTTGATTTTGTCTCCTGAGCACAAGATTTCTCAGAAGCTCTACATTCCTCGAAGTACAGCCACAGCTGCCCTGGGAGCTGCCGCGCGCCTGGCCACGTCCAGGAGCCTCCTGCACTGGTACCCCAGTGTGAAAAGGGTGGAAACCTGAGGGGGGAGGGGCGGCGCACAGTAGCGCTTTGCTCATCCTAAGGGACTCGATAGCTTTGTTATGCTAACTGTCCATTTTGGTGTGTAAGTATTGATATTTAACATTATTTTTATTTGTACTAATGATTTTATTCTGTTTTTTTACCTTTGTTTTTAATGTAGTTTAAAGGAGTTTTTGTTTTTTGTGTTTCTATAAATATTTTTCTTTTACATATCATGACTGATAAATGAAAATTAAGAGTCTGTTTTGTGATCCATATTTAGTAAGAGAAATATATTCCCACTTCCCTGTCTCCAGAAGGAGGATGTCTGAATTTAGGGTTGCTGCTTTCTATCAAATTTGAAATATTACATATTATAGAACATCATTATTTTTTCTTAATACTGGGAGCAGTAAGAAAATCCACACCCTGACGCTTTGGTCATATAACTATTTTTACATTTTAAAAAATATTAAGCTGTTTTCAGGATGGGCAAATTTCTGGAACATAGCTGAGCCTTATATAGTTACTGCAGTTCCCAGAAGTGTCAATGTGGCATGTTTCAATGCACTGGTGTTTAGGCATTTATGTAGCACTGTCTAAAGTGACTTTGTACGAAATGTTGTGTGACACTCTGTTGAGCTTATAGTATAAATCAAGAGGAGAGACTAAAAGTGGAATGGAGTATGGGTTTGTGGCTCCGTGGTGAAGTGCTAGTCTAACATGCTCAAAGTCTGGGTTCCATCCCCAGCACAATTTTGTACTTGAAATTGAAAAATGTGACATTCATTTCTTTGTGCTAAAGTACTAGGCTTATCCCCAATTCTAAGAATATTACTTTATCCATGTAATTAATTCCCAATATAGAATCATTTCTCAGAAGTCAGAGAGATGTAAACAGCTGGCATGCTACACGTACCACCTGGTCTGCTAGTTCCCTTCTTTGTACAACAAGGAATTTCTTCTCTTTCCTTCTCAATGGCTTAATCAGCAAATATCCACTAAAGAAGGAAGAGGGATGCACTTAGAGTACTTCTGCTGAACCTTAGGTAATCATGAAAGTTAAACCGGCACAGTGGCACATGCCTGTAAATCCAGTTACTGGGGCCAGTCTCGGCAACCTAGTAAAGCCCTGTCTCAAAATTTAAGAGGAGGGCTGGGGATGTGGCTCAAGCGGTAGCGCACTCGCCTGGCATGCGTGCGGCCCGGGTTCGATCCTCAGCACCACATACCAACAAAGATGTTATGTCCGCCAAAAACTAAAAAATAAATGAATATTAAAAAAAAAATTTAAAAGGACTGGGGATATGACTCAGTGGTTAAGTAACCCTGAGTTTAATCCCTAGTACCAAAAAAATGTTAAAAAGTCTTAGAGAAAATATGTTTAATGTGATAAAATTTAAAAATCCAGATTCATCTTTAATGCCAATATAAGAATGGTGATATACTAACTGATTAAAAAAAAAAAAAAACCTGAACATATCACTAATAGTTGCTTCAACAGATAGAACAGGTTCCCATTTGGGCTTTATGAATTTTGCATCCGACATCTTTATTGGAGAAATATGTGGAGGGTCAATAAGGAGCTAAATGTCATATATGGAACTCAATGGAACTGACAAAGCTCTGTTTATCATATAAATTTAGATATTATTCATAATTTTTTCTAAAGATATTTTTACTCAGGAGATTGAGACAGGAGGATCACAAGTTCGAGGACAGACTTGGCAATCTAGCAAGACCCTCAGCAACTTAGGATCTTTCTTTAAAGAAATCAAGTACAAGTAATAGAGTTCATTTCTCCAGATGAGTGGTTACTGGGTTTGGAAGAAGGTGTGTCTTAAGTGGAAGGGTTGACTGAGTACATGGTTGGTTAGTTAACTGTAACCCTCTCTATAATTGCACCCAGCCACCGGGAAGAACTCTGCCACGCTGGGTAGCCTTTATGTAAGTTTGACAATTGGTTTTACAACCTGACAGGGATTAACTTTATACCTTGCAAATTAAATAGAGATTATAAAATATTTAATGTGCTCAGGCTTTTTCAGAGTCCCACTCTGTTACATATGGCTGGAGAGAGAAGTATTTACACAGAAGCTTTCTCAAACTGAATGTCAACATACATTGAAAGAAGCCTATTTAGTAATTAATATTTGACATCTTATTTGAATTAGCGTGAAGAATGGACCTTTGAAAGGCTTATACCGGGCTGGGGATGTGGCTCAAGCGGTAGCGCGCACGCCTGGCATGCGTGCGGCCCGAGTTCGATCCTCAGCACCACATACAAAAAACAAAGATGTTGTATCTGCCGAAAACTAAAAAATAAATAAATAAATATTAAAATTTAAAAAAAAGAAAAAAGAAAGGCTTATACCTTTTGACTGCTTGGCTCTGACTAGAATAGCCAATCTGTGAGTCTGTTTACCTACCTTGTTCCCCAAAATGTGCGTTTTGTTTGGTAGTTAAATAGCCCAAAAGAATCAAATTTAATCATTTGAAAAATAGTATGTTCCTGCTTATGAGCGGGAACAACAATAAGAAGTGTACAAAAGATATGTAGATGCTCTGTGGTTTATAGTTAAAATGCTTTTTATTGTCAAAAGATAGGCCATTGTGTACATTTTGGATGTTTGTGGTTTCAGGAGCCATTAGCACTAATGGAGGTCCCCCTGAAATGTTTGAAGTGGGTTCTCAAGTGTGAGAGAGGGAATGGATGAAAACTAGAGGAAACTCCTGGTTCTTTACTCCTCAGGAATGGAAGAGGGCCTTGCTTTTAGAGACATTTGGGTCTTGACTGCAGCAGCTTATAGCCAGTGCTCCCCTCTCCCATCTAAAAATGCCCCCTGGGATTCCAGCAGCAGCAGCGCAGCCAGCCTTTTCCCTCTAAGCCCAGCACTTGTGAAATGCCAGCTGCCCTTTCTAAGGCTGGGAACAACTAGAGGCTACTGCCTGCAATCAGCCTGTGTCTAACGAGGCCTAGAATTATGGCGTTTTGACCTAGGAAGGGCCCTCGGTGGGGAAAGGTGAAGTATGAAAAACTGGCTTGCCTGGAGTCCCACAGCTCCATTCCCCCAGCTCTGCCGACTCCAGCGCACAGCCCTTTCCAAAGGGGGAGTGTGCAAGTCTATCTCATGTGCTATGAATAATTTGTGCCAGAAAACATGGATTTGGTAAATCAGACCAAAACAATGGTGGTTTTTATAGCTGAATAAATGGGGGAGAGAGGACTGATTTATAAAAATTCCCGTTTTCTTGAAGATGAATAATTGAAATAACAGTGGGCCAGTTCTACAGCAAAGAATCTGAAAAGGGGATGTCATAAGGAGCCAGAAGCCAAATATAGAAATAGAATATAGAAAACCAAATCCACGACTCTCTGCTCTCAGCTTTGGTCACAGAATCTGAATCTTTGGTCACAGAGAAATCTTTCTCAAGTTTCCTATTAACATTTATATGACATAACAAGGCTTTTCTAAGGTATTTTTATATAATGCCACGGATGGCATTCCTCAATTTGTAGGATCTTGACTTTTCCAACATATCAACCCAAGTACATTGCTCTGTCAACTAACTCTGTGTATTTGAATTGAACTCCATTTCTAATGGGTGCCTCTTGTCTCATTTAATCACCAGTTGGCCTAGGAAGTTTTTGGTATCATTGGCCAACTGGAATCAATCCTTTAAATGGTATTTTAACCATGTGCAGGGAAAATGTTAACTGCTGAATTGAGGATTCTGTAATATTCAGTATTATGATCGATTCATGTGCCACTTGTGAAATTGGCATTTGGCAATATATCAAAACTGAGCAGAGGTCTGGGATTGTGGCTCAGCGGTAGAGCACTTGCTTAGCACGGGTGGGACCCGGGTTCGATTCTCAGTACCACATTAAAAAAAAAAAAGCATTGTGTTGTGTCCATCTACCCCCCCCAAAAAAAGATTCTCTTTAAAAAAAATTATAAAACTGAGCAGAGAATTATTCAGAGCTAAATTTTCTTAGTTATAAGCATAGTTTTCAGGAATTACTTTTAAAAAGTTTCCTACTGGGTGTAAATCTTGTTTTATGTTTCTGCTAAATATTTTTGACTTATGGAAAAATGAGCTTAGGAAACAATGTTTGCTTGACTATTTCTTCTTAATGCCACTTATACAAATGCTCTGATATAGAAAACCAAATCCACGACTCTCTGCTCTTGGCTTTGGTCACAGAATCTGAAGGGGAGTTGTTGGGATCAAGGAGTGATCATACTAGTTTACTCTTTGGAGGTTGTAACAGCATTTTGTTTGATTTAAATATTTATGAAGTCCAGATTTGTCCAAAGTGTCCAGGTGTTTCTTTGTGATTAGCTTTTTGTTGTGTTGATTCTATAGAAATGAAATTTTTACTTGAATATGTGATTCAAAGTAGTTGAGTAAAATGCAAGATTAGTTAAGTTGGAAAAGAGACTTTACACTTTTTGACTAAACAATTTGTCTTCATTTTTGTTATGACCTCTTCATTTCCAGAGAAGGGTTTTGCAATCCTTTTCTTTGTTGTGGATAAATAATTATATTTCATAAACTTAAAAATTTTGTGTTGGAGTCAATTCACAAGTTTCTGACAGTTATATTTCAAAGACTTGTTTTCTTTCTTCATAGCAACATGTCAAGCCCCTCTAATTCTTCATCCGGCTTCTAAAATTCCCTTTGCCACTATTCTGCACTCTAGATGCCAAACCCAGCTGTGGCTGGAACCATCATACAGCACTCTGTCACCTCCCTGATTCTGCCTTGGCTGCAGTCCCGCTCTTCTGCCTAGAGCGGATTATTTCCAGGGGGCTCTCGAATTCTAAAACTTTTCCTTAATGCCATCCCACTGGACCATAAGAAGAAGCCAGTGACTGAATTCTGTCCGTTTCTCACTAGAACAAATGACCCTTAGGCAGAGTTTCTGTTCTGCACTGCTCTTGGTGGTGGTTCTCTGGTGGAGAAGCTCTCCTGATGCTGTGTGTCTGAAAACGCCTTTCAGTTTAGTAAGACTGTGTGTATCATTGAGGATGCTGAAAACTAGGCAAGGCATATCCCCAAGGGCAATTCAGTGTTTCTCCCTGTGCTGCTGTCCTCATGGATAACTGTCTCGTCCTTAGAAGGCTGAAACTTAAGCAAACATGCTGAATGGGCCAGAGCTGGAAGTTTATCCTTTCCCTTCTGAGTTTTGTAAGTGATAGCTTTGCTTTACTGTTCTGGAGTTGGACAGCCAAATTGTGAGAGGAGAGGCGGGGGACATTTGGGTATGGGTAAGTGGGAGCATCCTTTTCACATTTCATGTTGTAGGCAGGGAAAGCTGTGACCAGACAGAACGTGCTTTGCAACAACCTTTTCAACGATTGAGGTAGATTCGTCTTTGCCACACTTTTTAGATTCAGGAACATAACTTCATCAAGTAATTAGTGGTCTTTATCTAGCTTCTACTTGGAACTGTCTAGTAATTGACTTGACCCCAATTCATGAGGCTCAGCAAGGACAAAACTTGATCTGAGAGGAAAAAATGGTGAGTTTATACCAAAAGCCAAATCATTTGTGGCAAATGTCGTGTAATTATCAGTAAATGCATATCCTATGCTGGCTTTGCTGTAGTCTTTTCGGATTTACAGAGTCTTTAGACATATTGTAGAAATCAATTTGTGACAGCAAATCTAGCTTTTGATACGTTAAAGAAGAGAAAAAGCCAGATTGAAAGACATTATTAACCTTCACCGACGCTACCTTGTCCTTATACAATTTCATAAGCATAGGATCCTTGAGATATAGCTCTGTTAAAGACTATTTGCTTGAACAGTTTGGTAAAACTCATGTTTGATATGTAAGGTCAAAGAATTTCTAGGTTTCTGAATGCTGTGGACAAGTGATCTCAGACCTTTCATGGAATCATTAACTATTTTAAATGTGTCAAACACTGAGGACTATCTTTCCTAGATGGTACATTTATATAAAATTGTGCTCTAATTTCTAGGAGTTCATGACTCCTGAAACCTACCCTACACTTTCCTACACAGGAGAAGTTCAGAAAAATCACCCTCCCACCCCATCCCGGTGTTCCCTTGCCAACACCCCCTGGTTGTCCCAGATATAAATCTAGGAGAAACCTCTGGCAATGCTCCAAGCCCTCATCGCCACACGTAATAAGACATCATAAAGACCCAACAATGACACACACCTGTAAAATCCCAGCAAGTTGGGAGGCTGAGGCAGGAGGATAGCAAGTCTGAGACCAACCCGGGCAGTTTAGCCAGACCCTGTCTCCAAAAGAGGTGCAGTGTAGCTCAGTAGTAGAGCATTTGCAGGCTTAGCGTGCTCCAGATCCTGGATTCAATCCTCAGGATGGCAAAATAAAAAAGCTTATTAATTCTACCTCCCGCCTATCTGATCAGTCTTCCTCTTGCTGCAGACCCCCTGCCACCACCCAGGCCAGGCCACCTCTAGTCTTCCCTGGTACATACTAGAGTTTCTTAAGTTTAATTGAGTCAAAGAAGAGTAGAAAGAACAGATAATATATTATAAATAAGGTTAATTGAAGTCTTGATCTTTTCCCTACAACTCTGTGTTCTGAAAGCCCACGAGGCAGAGACCTTAGTGGAACATCAACATCAGCAAACATCCCATTTAGCATTTGCATTTAGAATTGAATGAAGCGCACTGAGTGGGAAGGCAGGACCCCAACTTAGTCTTCTGCACAAGATATGATTACTTTTCTGATTTGGTTTTTGGAGGAAAGTGGCAAAAAACAAATGGGCAGTTTGATATTTGCTGCTGCTCAGGAACAGCCTCTTAATCTCCTCCCACAACAGTTTTACTTGTCATACTGGCTCCTTTTAGTGTATTGTTCTTTATTCATGGAGGCTCACCTCTCACTTCCCAGTTTATTTTCTAAAAAAGTCTAACACTACAGATGTTAGTGCAGCAGGTACACAACTCGAAAAAGAAATTCATTTAAAGGTGCCCATTAGGGTTGGTGTAATAGGCTGGACTTTAATTGCTTTCTGTGAATTTTCTGGTTGCCTCGAGGATGGAGCTGGGGGCAGGCAGGAGTGTGCTGGCTGGGCACTGCATCAAACCTTAGCAGCAGGGCAAAAGCAAACTGCAGGAAACGGTTTGCTCTTCTTACCAAGAAACTTAACAAAAAATTCTTTGGCTTTTTTTAATTAACACTTTTAAAATATATATTGTCTTCGAAGATTAAAATTGTTCTCTTTTGAATTCAGTGTCATGTGAAAAATAATTTTAGAAAGTTAATGCAGCTAAAGAAATGATCAAGAAAAGTACAACCAACTATAGATTTCTGTTAGATGGCAAAGGTTAAATTATAGACTCACACTGAAAAATAAGATACATTAAAAGAACAATTTACCAAGACCTGTACACTGGTGGGAAGACCAGAGCCTTTGGCTCACATTAGTTCCAGGCACACCTGCTGTCTCCTAGAGACTGCAGACCCCAGCAGCTGTAAGCCTTGGGAAGCCCACATTAGTGCTAGCCTTGATGGTCCAGGAACTGTGACCAACATGCATTCCCCAGCCTTACCTAGTTATAGAGACTCTAACCTGTCCTGGCACCAGACAGAGACCTGAGCTCCAGTGGGATGAAATCACATGAGTCTGCATCACTGCCACCTGCAGAGTGAGCCCTGGTGCCTCCTAAGTCTCTGTAGGTCCTTGCAGCTGTAAGACTCAGTAGTGACCTAGATTAATGCCAGTTTGGTTGACCAAAGGACTGCCTTCACCAACACTACTCCAACCCTCAGGCAGCATAGTGTGGAGCAAGATCCCAGTCACTGGGGGGTCAAGACTTTGCCGTGGAGCTTAGTGCTGAGTTAGATCCAACACTGGGAAAATCCTAATGGCTCATACCCCTGGGCCTGCTGTCAGATGGAGCCTCTGGAAGAAGACATGTGTCCCCAGTCTGTTAGCATCACCCGTGGTCCATATGGGCCATGAGAACATCTTATTTCACCATCATTTCTTTTTTACCTCAGCAATAGGCAACCCTAGCAATATGGACCTTGATCCTACCCAGGTGTTGGGCTGTCTTTGCAGGCTGTAGACTCAGGGTTTGACATAGATTGGGGGCATTGGTGGCCACAGGAACCTGGGACTGATTCACCCATGGTGATTTCTGCTCAGAGTCAGGCTAATAACTGTAAATGAGATATCTAGATCTACTGTGACCCGAGGGAAAGGCTTGTGGGCACAGACTAGTCTTTCTAGGTACTCTCCTATTACTGTCTGAATAGTACACCAACAAACCTGGGCTTGGATAGCCCTCTAATACTAAAAGACAACACACCAACAGCAGACTCCTGCAAACCTGAACCTATTCAGTGTTGAAATAGTGGAAGTTAATACAGGTTTAGAGAAAATAAGCAGGCTGCTTAGAATTTCTGGAAAGATAGACACAAAAACAGAATAGGAAGACTGGAATAAGTACCTGATCCTTCAATGCCAGATGATGTCATACACCAATAAGCATCAAGTACCTTCAGGAAACCACAACCCCACCTAATGCTCAGAATAAGGTGCCAGAAACTGACAGGCAGTAATCAGTACAAGAAGAAGTACAGAAGAATTATCTCAAGGGCTATTTGAAAGTACACAATGGGGGCAGGGAGTTAAGAGGATTGAAGAAGCTTACAGGAAATTTGGGACAGCGTTCAAAGAGCAAATGTTAAAGTTATTGGGGTTCAAGAAGGATTTGCAAATGCCAAAAAGGTAGAAAGCTTATTCAAAGAAATAGCACAAAACTTTTCAAAACTAGGGAAGGATACAAATATCCAGGTACATAAAGATCGGAGTCACCAGTCAAATTTAATCAAGTCTACCTCAAGACAAAATTAAGCTCTCAAAGGTGAAAGATGTATCTCTAGGCTTCAAGAGAAAAGGAACAAAAACAACAGAGAGGATCCCCAATTCACCTGACAGCAGACTTCTCAGCAGAAATCTTATAGACCAGGAGAGAGTGGCGTGAGATTTCCACAGTACTGAAGGGGAAAAAAATATGGACTGAGAATAGTACACCCAGCAAAGCTATTATTAAGAAATGATGGCGAGGCTCAGTGGTAGAGCGCTTGCCTAGCACACATGAGGCCCTGGGTTCAATCCTTAGCACCACATAAAACTGAAATAAAGACATTGTGTCCACCTACAACTAAAAATATTAAAAGAAAAAAAAAGAAATGATGGTGAAATAAGATGTCCCCAGACAGACAAAAGCTGAGAGAATGTATCTCCACCAGATCTGTTCTGCAAGAAATACTAAAGGAAATACTTCAAACTAAAAAGACATTAATAAGCAAGAAGAAAACATAGAAAGGCATAAAACTCACAAGTAAGAATAATTTGTAATACAAACTAATCAGAATAATATTGTAAATGTGATGTTAACCATATTTTTAGTATAAAACAAAAATAGAAAAATCAATATATAGGCATTACATAATTATGTAAAGTTATGTAAGATGAGACTTCAAAATGTGGGGAAGAATAGAAGGCAAGTGGAGAGTTTTCTTATAATTTTTTTTTGTGTGTGTGCCAGGG